AGGGGCATCCCTCCCGCAGTTATAAGCCACCGCCGATCACGAAGGGGCATCCCTCCCGCAGTTATAAGCCACCGCTGATCACGAAGGGGCATCCCTCCCGCAGTTATAAGCCACGACTGATCACGAAGGGGCATCCCTCCCGCAGTCACCAGGCTGCGACAGCCGCTGTCAGGCCGAGAGCGGATCTACATCAGCAGGGCAGGGCTGGCTTGAGGTTGGAGCTGCGATCTATCGTGTTCCCACTGCAGAACACAAACTCACACGGTACCCTTCCCTGGCTGTTTATAACCCCACATCCGTCCCCCTCGCCGTAACTTTTTCCATGCCTGACACCACCGCCCGTGCCGTAAATGATACTCTTTTATGCCAAGCCTTGAGCACGGGTCCAACAGCTCGGGCGTGACTCCTTCCATCACCAGCCATGCAAGCGCTCGCCTTTTATTTAAGTGACCGGATTTAAATCTGTGTTCTGAGAATCGGCTGACTCAGCTACGACGTTCACACTCACCAGACAGGCTTCTACGTCCTTTAGTTACTACAGATCAAAACCACCCATCTTCCATCTTCCCACCTTTTAACCAGTTAGGGGTCATGAGGAGGGCCTGGAGCCCATCCCACCAGTCCAAGGCTGGGGTCCACCCTGGATGGTATGCCAGGCAATCCCATAAAGGACCCAGTGGAAATCTGCACAATGTGAAAAGGATCTGCAAAGTCCACACAAAAAGGTGGGAGAAGACTCAAACCCCAACCCTAGAGGTCTGATGCAACAGTGGGTCCAAATAAAGAGGATCGATCAATAAAAAGTACCTCACAACATTATACATAGTGAAGATTTTAATTATCTAGGAGAAACATAGCACAACATACCAACAGAGGAATTAAGGAATTACTGAGTACTGAGAAAGGAATGCTTCAGAGTTATGCGGAGGTGACAACAGCACACTGCCACTCACCAGTGCTCACTGTGAGGCATGTTTCATGCAGCCAAAACAGTTAAAGCATATTGTCTGGGTCTCCCAGCAACAGCCATTCTTATGTAAACAAAATATGACCAACTAATGAGGCATGGTAGCTTTAAAGCTCAATGTGGAGAACAACCGGCCAATGAAATAGCATTTAAAACTGCTTGTTTACTTTTTTTCTTAATAGCTCATTAATATGCCAAACCATTCTGTTTTTCACTGTTCCATTTGTGTACTGTGCACTTGTGTTTGCACTGTGTATTGTCTTTGCACCATGTCATTTGCACTAAATACATGTTAGTCTATGTTCTCCATGCTTGCTACTGCATACACAAAAATTTTCCTCTGGGATCAATAATGCTAATCTAATTCCAAATCTACTTCCGATTTACTGTACTTAAAGCATAAACAGGCATGTTTTATAGAAATATATTGCACGTTAAATAGATGGAAGTGCACAAGGCTTCAGTCATCAGTTGAGTAATGAGAAAATAAAGAAAAACCAATAAAACAAGGGAACTAGTCGAGACATCACTGAGCAGATACACCCTACATGGAAGTGTAAGTGCATTATGACAGGTGACCGCTGCATCCCCGTTTGGGTAAATTCCGGGACACAGAAGGCTTCGGCAAACACAGGACCTCTGTCTTGGCCACAAGCATGTGTCTGCAACATGTGGCCTCATGGAAACAGGCGTCTGCTTGTCTCCTTTGGTCCAGTGGGGTTTCCCCAAGGTTTTATTCAGATGGGGCAGGACTGGACAGCACAACGGCGAAATTTAGGCCGGGAACTCGAAATCCCTGTAGCCGGCCTTCCGGAACCAAGAGCAGGAACGAACTCAGCCTGGACCTGACAGCTTTTAGAGGTGCCGTGTAACCCACTGAACATCAGCTGCATAACCCACTGGACTAAAAGGTAATTTGCAAAAAAAAAAATAATAAATTAAAAACCCTCCCCCAGGAAAGACTTAATTATTTTATGAACGCATTTATTGTTGTCTCAGTCTGACTCCCTCCCCCTTCTGGTAGAAGATAGGGGTGATTCGACTTCCTGGAAAAGACCTCAGGCATCAGTCACTCGAGTACCTGCATCTACACACACCATTTACCAACAGACGGCAATTTCCAAATTCCACCATTATTTATAAACATTGCTTAGACGTAACATTAGTCTGATTCCATGGGGATTCTGGGAGATTCTGGTTTAAAAAAAAAAAAAACAGGAGCAACATACTTCAGAAAAAGGGGCAACCAAATAAATCTGGATCCCAAACAATCATCTAAAATGTGAATTTCAGATGGTTTTTTTCCTTTGGAATTCAATAATATGCTGTGTCTCAAATTAGGTTAAAAAGATCTCTTCGCTATGAAAGGAACAAATCTACAGCAAAAACCACCGACTGATTAAGATACTGTAAAATTACTGAAAAACATTTAGATGTTAAGCAACAAGAACTTGTACTGCAAATAAATATATGGTTCTGATTTGACCATTACAACAAACTACTGTGAATAAGAAAATTAAAGAACTGCTGAAACAAATGATCGGATAATACAAGATTTCATTTAAGTTTATAGACTAAACAATTTGGCTAAGAGACTCCCAGTCTGACGGTGGATGTTTGCCCCTTTCTGCTTTGGACTCAGTTAAAGCTCCCAGTAAGGCTGAAAAGGCCAATTACCCTGAAACCACCAATGGAAACAGGACCAAAAGCAGCAGCCGTTAGTGGCGATTACCCATCAGCCAGACTCATTCGAGTGACACACAAAGCCAATCAGAAGTGAGGATGCAGACCCCCACCTCCAGGAGCAACGCAGTCATCTCCCCCAGCCAATCCCCTTCACCAACGGGGAAGTCACAAGCAACGTGCCCAAACAAATTCCCTCAGAGCAAAATCTGGGAACAGATGAGGTGCTGCGGCCTTGCGTCTGTCCCATCCCCCCCCCCCCCCAAAGATGGTGGGAAGATTCATTTCAGCAGTGGTGCCCCAAAAAATTAAAATCAATCCAGAAAATACTACCACCCCGATGTCAGTTTCCATCCAGGATATCCACTATTAATGTATGTTCAAACTGGTTTTTACGTTTGCATTTTATTTGAAGGCCTCTCTAAACGCACAGGTCTGAGCAGCAGTTCACAGTGATCCCCGACCTCGACATTTTTCTATTTTCTTCACATCCAGGTTGTGCAAATACTTGCCTGTTGACAACAAAATCAACCCCTAGTGGCCTGCAGAAACCATAGGATACAGAACCCAAAACCTATCGAGCATTATCAAAAGGGTAAAAACCACTTACTGACATTGCCCAAGCTGACATTCTCAGCGACAAACAAAACAGCCTATTTATTCAGCACTTACAAATTGGGCTAGGGGGATTCTTGTTTACCAACAGACAGTTTAGATTATAGTGCAGCACTACATTAATACAGTAAGGAAATCACAGAAAGACCGTTTTATCAAGGGCTGAGCATGATTAACTATGTAACCATAACTCAAAATTAAGTTTCAGTATAACCATAAAAGAAGTGTCAACAGAAACAACCACAAGATTTGATTGATTTTCAACACATTTCCTTAATCTAAGTCTGAACTATCACTGGTTAAGAGGTGGAAGCACAATTTAAACCTGATTTTTGTAAAGGCCGAGTTCACTCAGACATAAGTACAGATTAAAAAGACCCTCAAAAAGAGCAATAAAATATATTTTAAAAATAGAAATTATATGGATCTGTTGGATTTAATATGAGACTACAGTTAATTGCCTTCAACTACAATGAGTAATCCTGTAACACTCCAATACGGTTAGACCTAAATACAGCTAATAAACATATAAAAGACGTCGCTGGTAACTTCATAACCTACATGTATAGGTAAACACAGGAAATAAACGTAACTAAGAACGATTAAGATCAGTCGATGGAAATATATAACGCGCTATGCTGCAGGCGGCACATTGTTCATTAGAAACTTAAAAAAAATCCCCTAGCGGTTTATGACCACGTAATACATCGGAGGAAATGGGTTATGATTAAATGATTTTTACGGTTAAAAAAGTAAAATGAAGATGCTCCGGATAGGTCGCCCCCCCTACGAGCCCCGGGGCGAAACAAGTCGAGTGTGAAAAATAACCAGGTACGCCATAAGACGGCTGATCTGGTGCACATTCCTTTTCCTGCTGGGTTCCGCATGGAGAATAAAAGACATTCCCAAACTTTGGAGAGAAACCCGGCCATCGACATTACGTTACAGTTCACTTATATGCGGCTTAGTCCCCTCTATTGGCTTTTAGACGATTAGCCTATTCCAACCCAGGGTTAAGACACAAAATGCACAAAAGTATTACAGTATAAAAGCTTCACCCACCAGTTCAGATTTACGTGGAGAACAAAACCTGATCTTCGCATAAGAAATCCAACATGTTTGAATCCCTCCGGGCAGAATCAGGCCGCTAATATGAAACGCGTTTAAATCCTCTTCCGGAGCGCTGCCGTCCCACACCGCAGACGGGAGTCCCGAACAGATTAAAGATGGGCCCGTTTTGTTCAAAGCTCCCGAAGAAACATTTCTTGGAAGCCAGGGAGCCCACTTCAGCCTTTTTTTTGTGTCGTAGAGGGAGGAAAGTTATTGTTGGAGTCGCACAATCAGACACAACTAGGGAGGAGGGGGGAAGAACTGGGACGTTTGGAGCAAAAAAAAAGAAAAAACGATTGATCCAGCTTGATCCTGAGTTTCTGGATGTTGTCCTTTATTTCGACGCGAAATGGGTTAAGGGAGGAGGAGGGGGAGCGCAGGATTGGAGGCGTGCGGTCCGTCCCTCCTGACTTCAGAAAGGAGGAATCCCAGGAATGCGCGGCGAGCGCAGGAGCAGCGAGAGGAGCGGAGCTGGATCGGAGCGCCTTTCCGAGGCCGATTACACATCCAGCAAAACACCGCTGCCTCTGTTTGTTTTCCTTCACCTTCATTATTTCCCAAGTGAAGAGAAAACTTCCTACTTTATCTCTTCTTATTTAGATCATACCTGGCCTTGGGCGTGTACCGAACATTGCATTTAAGTGGTATTTTGTAGGCTACTAATTGTTTCCCTTAATAATAAAGTAAGAAAGTTACAGGAGTGGGACTCCGCCTCCATTTTATTGCAGTGTTTCTTGCCTTAACCACTATATGCTTTCTAAGGGTACGAAAAATGTATAATAGGCCTAATATATTTATTCTTTCTTCACATGTATGAAGTCCACAGTATAGGCTGGTTTTCAGTACTTTGCGTGGCTTAAGAGCTTTGCAGGTAGATTTGATCTAGGTTAGCTACTACTTCTACAAAAACCAGAGTTGGATTGAGTATCTAGCATACCTGTGGAGCTATCTATCTTGGGGACGCTAGCTCCGCCCCCCTTCTTAAACCCCTTTTAAGACCTGCATGGAACTTTGCTGTAATTTCCAATGTGGCTTCTTTTATGTATGTTATATATTTTTCTCATATTTGATTTAATGTATTAAACCACCATTAAAAGCAAATAAGACTCTCAACTAAAAAAATATGTCTGAAATATATATGCTAATATACATCTTAATATATTCATGCAGTTTTTAGAATTTTACTATAACATAGATAGTACACTTAAATAAATTATGATTATGATTCATAAAAAATAATATAAGGAAGATGCATTTAATGTATGTATATGGTTGTCATTGAATCATATTACCATATTTAATAAGCTGTAGTTACAGGGAGATGTTGGTCTCACACATCTGTGTTTTCTGTGTGTGCAGTTTGCATACTGAAGGCCATATTTAATGCTTAATATTTGTTTTAACCTTTAATATCCTAGAAACTTTTCACATTATACAAATATATATATATGTACACACACACACAATATATATATTTTTATATATATATATACACAACATATATATATACACACTATATATATATACACTCACCTAAAGGATTATTAGGAACACCTGTTCAATTTCTCATTAATGCAATTATCTAATCAACCAATCACATGGCAGTTGCTTCAATGCATTTAGGGGTGTGGTCCTGGTCAAGACAATCTCCTGAACTCCAAACTGAATGTCAGAATGGGAAAGAAAGGTGATTTAAGCAATTTTGAGCGTGGCATGGTTGTTGTTGCCAGACGGGCCGGTCTGAGTATTTCACAATCTGCTCAGTTACTGGGATTTTCACGCACAAGCATTTCTAGGGTTTACAAAGAATGGTGTGCAAAGGGAAAAACATCCAGTATGTGGCAGTCCTGTGAGCGAAAATGCCTTGTTGATGCTAGAGGTCAGAGGAGAATGGGCCGACTGATTCAAGCTGATAGAAGAGCAACTTTGACTGAAATAACCACTCGTTACAACCGAGGTATGCAGCAAAGCATTTGTGAAGCCACAACACGCACAACCTTGAGGTGGATGGGCTACAACAGCAGAAGACCCCACCGGGTACCACTCATCTCCACTACAAATAGGAAAAAGAGGCTACAATTTGCACGAGCTCACCAAAATTGGACAGTTGAAGACTGGAAAAATGTTGCCTGGTCTGATGAGTCTCGATTTCTGTTGAGACATTCAAATGGTAGAGTCAGAATTTGGCGTAAACAGAATGAGAACATGGATCCATCATGCCTTGTTACCACTGTGCAGGCTGGTGGTGGTGTAATGGTGTGGGGGATGTTTTCTTGACACACTTTAGGCCCCTTAGTGCCAATTGGGCATCGTTTAAATGCCACGGCCTACCTGAGCATTGTTTCTGACCATGTCCATCCCTTTATGACCACCATGTACCCATCCTCTGATGGCTACTTCCAGCAGGATAATGTACCATGTCACAAAGCTCGAATCATTTCAAATTGGTTTCTTGAACATGACAATGAGTTCACTGTACTAAAATGGCCCCCACAGTCACCAGATCTCAACCCAATAGAGCATCTTTGGGATGTGGTGGAACGGGAGCTTCGTGCCCTGGATGTGCATCCCACAAATCTCCATCAACTGCAAGATGCTATCCTATCAATATGGGCCAACATTTCTAAAGAATGCTTTCAGCACCTTGTTGAATCAATGCCAGGTAGAATTAAGGCAGTTCTGAAGGCAAAAGGGGGTCAAACACCGTATTAGTATGGTGTTCCTAATAATCCTTTAGGTGAGTGTATATATATATATTCAGGAAGCAATTGATCATATACCATCGACTACTTTGTGTATCTATTTTAAATGCGGCCATAATTGCTAATACAAATTCCTAAAGCATTGGCTTATAACACCAAGCCTTTCTAATAAAAAGGTTTTGAATTTCTGAAAGATTTTGTGTAAATCTCCATGCTTGCTGCACTGGCCTTTTTTAACAGTTATGCTATAATCTCATTAATTGTTTGAGCTAGCAGCAGGGAGCTTGTCTGAATTTCTGCATATTCACGCTTCTGGAATCGGCGCCTGGAACATTAAAGCCGCCAGGGTGGCCATCTTGAATTTATCAATATGCACAAAGCCCATGGCGCTTGGCCTATCAGCACATGGCTTTCAATGCCGCATCGTCGAAATCACTGGGCATGTCAGTTTTTTTTTCTAAATTATTCTTTGTATGAAGAACTGATAGGTGCTGCTTTAAGTACTTATGGGACCCTATTGTTGCATCACTGAGCAAGGTACCTAACCGGAATTGCTAATATATTTTGGATCAAGTCAAGCGTCTTTGGATAAAAGTGCCAGTTTGGCAACTAAACGTCTATGTCAGGAGTGGCCAATCTTATCCGCAAAGGGCCGCTGTGTTGTGGGTTTTCGCTGCAGCTCCCTAATTGTATTAATTAATTAGAGGACTGATTGGCTGAGGAGTCCTCACACCTGGGTTTGAACAGCTGACCTAAAGGTTACCCCAAACACCGGATAAGATTGGCCATCCCTGACATAGACGTAACATATGTGACCTATGTCACATATGTTATGCACCTTAACGTGATAATCATGCATACATAAATACAAAAGATACTTTGTGGTCATGGTTGCAGGGAGGTTTGTATTCAATTAGCAAAACAAGTCTCAGCTTCTGCCATATTTGGCAGCGTGGGGTTGTGGACAGCTGTGAGCGTGCTTCCATCCATGGTCAAACTACGCCCTCTAGTGTCCTAGCAAAGTCACACCTGAACTTACTGCACATAACGTAGTATGTAGCTATGCTCTGGGCCCATGTTGCACTTGTTATCTTTTTCACTCCCATTTTTTCCATATGTATTGATAAATGATGGTATATATTTCGTAGTCTGTATCTGTTACTAGGTCACGGTTTACAGTGCAGGAGGGAGTTGCAGTTAAGCAGTGTAAGGCACATTATCAACACATTCACTTCTAATTTATGTGAATAGCTCTCAGTGGGGAAATCAGCACAGAAGCTCAGCTCAGAATTAAAGACGGACTGAAGCTACAGACATCAGGTCCTGCCGTGGTTTACAGTATGTGTATGTGTACAGTAGGAAGTATGTGCCGTGTGGGTTGTGAAACACAAAAAAATGCCACTTTAGAGAGCGCCGTAGTGTATACCATCATTTTTTGCATTTTTTCTTCACTTGAATGAACGCATGCACACTGCATCTCACTATATCTGGAGTACAATGATTTATACACTGGAGCCTTGACTTCAGCACACATAACACCCACTCAACTGGCTCCACGAGCCCAGGCTGACTGATTAACATCCTACGCATGCAGACCCGGAGCAAACTGCTGCAAGACTCATAGAAGGAGTACTGTGTGCGAGCACTGTGATGGACTGCCCTCCCACCCATGGTGAACCAAGTCCTCCCCCCCCCAACTGTCCTGAACAAGATAAGCAATTACAACGGGGCTCTTCAAATTCCAAATCCAGACCTAGTATTCAGTTCTCTGTGGTAGTTAGTTTAATAATAACTGATTCTGATTGGACAGAGGCTTCAAACATGGCTCACAGGTAAATCAGCAGGGCTCGGACCTTGAGAGCCATGATTTGCAGAGCCCTGGACTTAAAGATGGGAATACAAATGGATGGACTGCTCCAGTGGTGGAAAAAAAGCAGGGAACACAGTGCCGTCTTCTCTTTCCAGCTGCCCAGGGAGACTTTAGACTGCTGTCTTCTCTTTCCAGCTGCCCAGGGAGACTTTACACTGTCGTCTTCTCTTTACAGCTGCAAAGGGAGACTTTACACTGCCGTCTTCTCTTTCCAGCTGCCCAGGGAGACTTTACACTGTCGTCTTCTCTTTACAGCTGCAAAGGGAGACTTTAGACTGCCGTCTTCTCTTTCCAGCTGCCCAGGGAGACTTTACACTGTCGTCTTCTCTTTACAGCTGCAAAGGGAGACTTTACACTGCCGTCTTCTCTTTCCAGCTGCCCAGGGAGACTTTACACTGTCGTCTTCTCTTTACAGCTGCAAAGG